CCTGGAGATCTGCATATGTCAGGGTTCGGATTGTTTCTAGCTCGTGGATAGCTGAGGATACAGAATCTATCGTGACTTCGAAGATGAAGCAGTTGAACTGCTGTTTTATAGAGTGAGCTTTAGGTACCCTAGGGTAAGGTTTTCTTAGTAAAAAGCTTTTGCTTTCTGTTTGCACTCAGTACTGAGGAATCACAACTATTTAAGACACACCTCGATTAAGACAGACTAGACAAATTTAAGGCGTTTTGCCTTGGGCGCCAAGATTTATTACAGATGTGATACAAAAGTGATATTAAATTTGTTGTTTTGAAAAGAAAATTTACGATCATCTTTTGCAATAATTCGTGACTAAAAAGCTATAAACTTATCCCATAAGTAATTGCAATAAATTTGAACTGCGAGGCATCTCGTAGCTGGGAGTGAATGGGTTAAACAGTAGAGTCGGACGCTATTATAAGCTGAAACGACCCATATTCACTTCATTAGTTTATTCCCTTCTGTCTATAGACGTCCACATTAACACATTCTAAACTAGCCTGAAGCTATGAGTCATGCAACACCTTGTTTACTCGATGATGCAACATGTGGGTCAGAACAGGACAGAAAAAGTGTTAGCGGCTACCGAGGACAGCCTCGTAATAACACATCCAGTCTCAATTTATGTACCTTCAGCTTATATTGGCTTGGGTTTTTACACAAAAATTGGCCAAATTAGCCATTGTGAATTAGCCACGACACGTTAGGTCGAAAGTACGTCGAATTTCCTAACCAGATGGGAACCACTGTCAATAGACTGCTTTGAAATCTCGCACGGCTCATTAACGTTGCTCTCGGTGGGTCTCCCGAGAACGTCATCCTAATTTCCACACGTTACGAGTTCTGTCTAAAAACTAATGAGGCCAAACCAGTTTCTCGAAAGCTAGCAACATTGTACGAATGCAATATCGAAATTTACATTCCTGCTCTACCTTTGACGATGGCTTCAACCTGATAACTTGAACGTATGCGATTTTACGAGTTGTGTAAGTATCAGCGAGGAGTCGTGAAAATGGAGCAACGAAATATCTCAGAACTAACGGAGGTACTCCTGATACCACGGTCGTTAGAATCGACCTTTCGACGATTTTATGATTTGTAGACCAATCCGCGTCTAGAGGATTTAGAGCATTTTTTCCTTAAAATAACATGACAACAACACGACTAGCTGTTCTCAGGCTCAACAGAGATTCCTTTGACACGACGGCGAAGCATTGCAGTCTATCGATTTTATAATTTCTTACAGGGAACAGAAGTGCGAAACTAGGTTTACGAGGCCCTTTTTTTACAACCACCCCTTCTGCCACCCTCTTTCTCCTTAGGAACACGTTGCGAAATCACCCTCGCCTTCGCGAACACGTGAAACCTATCCAAGGAAGCGTGAGCGTGCGCGTCTTTCGCACCTGGGCGTGAATCGACTGGGATATTATTGGCGTTCGCGTGTGGGTGTTTTGCTGGTAAGGAAACGCGGGACTCCGTCGGTGCCTAGCGAGCTACATTAAACTTAAGTACTACTTGATCAATTCGTCGCGCGATATAGTCACCTGCTGGGGTGCTGGTGCTAACCTACGCTTCTTGAGTACTCTCGAGGGACCACCAGCATCGCCTATGCTCCATTTCGATTAACGGCTAGTGGAATTTTAAACTCGAGTTTTTAGTTATCGAATAAAAAGCATTGTATATGGATGACATGACGATCAACGTGAGAATCCTGAAACTAAGTAATGCTATTGCAGCTTTTCGATTTTTCTATAACAAATATCGTGTTCTAGTTGCGTGTAATTTCCTGTACAAACTCGACAAGGATTTATTTTATTAGGCGATGGGGGCGCCTTATGCAATAGAGCAGGGGGTCGGTGACCTATGGCACGCGGGCTAAGCAGCGATCCACGATGCTATAACATTCGATCGTCTAAATACAAGTTTAAATAGAATCAGAAAGGAAAGGAAAGTATTTAATTTCTAATAAAAGTATCAGGAAAACGCGAACAACAAACACGCCAACTTAAACAGAAACCATCAACGTTACGTGGTAAAACCGAATCTAGTTTACGACCGTGTGCCACGCAGAGCCGTTCCTGTTTGCAAAATAAACAACACACGGAGGGTGTCATCAAGAAACATTGGAGGAGTCATTATCGAGGAAGGAGCCAGACGATTGTTCCATAAAATCTCCGCGGGGCTTAACCATCGCGGTTATTAGCTGTTACGCAAGCGCGTTAGGGCTCCACCCGAGCCGATACAATGCATAATAAAAGACATAATGGATCCAGTCCAACCGTAGATTACCGTCGAACACGAAAAACGCATTACGCGGCCGAGTAAACGTTTCGATAAAAATCTCAAGGTAGCCAGCGAGGCCTGGCCGCTCGAGCCTCGCTGTAAAACAAGATCATTAATTGTCGGTTAGTCGTGGACCGAAGGTAACTCGAACGGACCTCCAATTTGCTACGTGAACCACCTGTCCGCGATCGGTGGAATGAAACGTTTCGCAACGATCCCTCCACCCACCGTGGGACCATGCAAATGGGATTTTATGAGCGTCTTTCACCCGCTTCCAGACCATTGTTACCACTTTTCGACCTCGACTGGTATGGCCGTCCGCTGCGTCCGAGCCATTAATCTTTCCCTTCTGCCAGGGAACGTCGATACGTATCCTGGTTTGCGAAATCGCGCCCAGGAAAGCGATTCCTCGATGCCAATGGCCGCCGCGTTCGCTGTAAGCGCGAGCCGAACGGTGAAACCGTTCAGGGGACTTGTAAAACGGCGCGAAACAATTACCGTTGCAAGTTACCGACGTCTCCGACTGATTAGATAGCCGTGTCGAGTCGAAGACTTTATGGACACCCTGTTTTCTCTCGCGGAAAGGATTGCTGGGTGACTGGTAGCTGTACTCGAAGGGGGGAAGTATACAGTCGAACACCTTTCGCTATTGTTCATATTTTAATACGTTGATCGCCCATATATGAATGGAAGTGCTTTCCAACGAATTAATTGTGAAAGTCAAAATTTGGAATTCTGGTGAATTATCACGATAAATGTTCGATTACGTAGTTACAAATAGTCTAAATAATATTTAATCCTAACAAAAATTTTCAAGAATATTTGTCTGGAATATCCTTATGTAGTAATAACTAACGTCGATGGCTGAATTCGCAACTAAAAGTCCTTGTAACCCCAAAAGCATCGGTTAGGGCTACTAACGGTTACTCGACCAACTTGCGTATCACACGGCGCATCTTTCTCTAAAATAAACGAATCAGAAGCGATTGTAGATAGCACTTTCCAGCGACTCATTCCGTATACGCGTCAAGACATCCGACCTTGATGAACTTTCGTCTTCACCTAACGGGAGGGATCGCAGCCGAATAAGCGCGACGAACTTCCATCCGAGAAGACGGATGTTCCCTCGGTACGGTTATACCACGGGGGAATTATTTATCATACGAGTTAAATGTTACGTCCGATAAATCTACCGGCGTAGGCACACTTTCCGAGAGAATGCAGCTGACTTTTACATCGATGATCGTTCGAGCACTATATCATTATTCTTGGCACGGAAGCCTGGACACCGAGAGAGCTCCGTTACCTAAGGCAACGTACACATGCAAGTATACGGACACGTGCACGTGACGTTCCTTAGGTAATTAGGAAAATCTGGATCTAAGAGAATTTCGTTCAAAAATTATTCACGAATGCGGAACATTTTCTTTGTTTGGTGACGTTCACCATAAACCACGGAAACAATTAGTCCCCCCTCCACTGACAAGGAAGAAATACCTCGACACCTGATTCCAAGGAACCTGCAATTGGTTTAATTAATCGGAACGCGGAACCAGGAGACACGAAGCAATGCCAAACCGATAGGTCATTTATCATCCAGAGAATTGAAACCGTTTCGCAAACGGGGATTTCTAAATACACTCAGCGCGGTTCAATCTAATTGGATTTTCCTATTGCGCGATGAAATTTCCAGCGACTGCCGTTAGCCAAATGCGTATCTTTCAATTAGGAAGGTAATTCCGATCCGAGCACACGACGACCGCAAATCAACTTTTCATGCCACGCAACGGTGTCTCATCGCCGTTTCAGCTCGGCTAGGCGTTGTTCCAAGTAAACGCAAGACCCTTAGAAACCGGAAGCATTCGATAATTGGGATCTCATACCGTTCCCGAGTGCGCGGTTGCGTCACGCCTAACTGTATACCAGCCGGCGGAAAGTACTCGCAACGGTGGACTCGCGATCACGCCCACGCAGTGGAAACGTTTTTCGGAGCATTTATCAAGCTGCTAATACATAAATGTTTGCAGGAGCAGTTTCCCTTTTATTTGTTACCAGTTTATTAATTGTCTTGTGGCTACAGTCAGTCCTAGGTAGAAATATTTTCGAGATACAAGAATGTGAACAGAAATATATTTTTGAACCCAGGATAAAAGAGTACCTCCTTAAGGTTTTCTCTTCAACTAGAGAATTTTTTTAACGTAATTTAGAAAGAATATTTCAAGAACCTCGAGCAAACAGAGTATAAAGAGAAACGTATTTTTTAACCCAAGCTAAAAAGAGTACTTCCTCAAAGTTTCCTGTTCGACTGCGGAATTTTTTTAATGTAATTTTAAAGTAGTATTTTAAAGAGCTCGAATTTTAAAAAAGAATTGTTCAGTGTTGCACCGCCATAAGGACTGGAACCGCAGTCCTGTCCATCAAAGACATTCCCCGCGTTATCGCGGAAGTGGTCTTCGAGGACCGTAAGAAGCCATCCGCGGTGATCCACGACGATCGGATAAGCCCCGAGGTCCGCGGTTGTAAAAGAACTTTATAACGCTTCGGATTATACGACCGTCACAGGCCATCCGTCTCGGCCGATCCGCGGTGATTCCACGTCTTTCAAAACGCAAACATAAGGAGATAACCGCTACGGTTCCCTTCCCTTCGACCCCAAAGTCGGACCACAAAGAGTTCCTTACCTGATTGATGTCGCTGCCCAGGTCCCTGGCGCTCTTCGCGCTCCTCAGCTGATCGCCGCGGTACTCCCTGTACCTCATCGTTACTTCGTCGTCCGTCAGCGCGCCGCTGCTGTTGCTTCTCGCGTTCTTCTTGCTCTTCTCCTCCTTCGCCTTCTTCTCTTTCTTACTAAACAGCTGCTTTACTTTGCTCATGGTGCCGCTCTTCTTCGCAGCCTTCTTCTCGTACTTTTTGTCAGCGCCTGACGGCGGTTTCGCGGTGACCGGCGACGACTTCGCCGCGTCGTTCGTATACTTGTCGTACTTCCGTTGCTCGGAGGACGTGAGGTTCATGTTCCGGTCCGTGTGCCGTCTCTCATGCTTGATGAACTGCCGCGTGACGAAACCCTCGTCCTCCGACTCGATCTGCTCCCGCCGATCCACTTCCTGTGAATCGCGCCTGTAATCGTTCTCGATCCCGGAATCGGCCAGACGATCCTTCCGATCGGAATCGCTGAGCCGTGTCTCGCGGTGACGGCGCTCGGTGTGCGCTCGAATTTCCTGCCTGGTGTGCCTGGACTTGCCGCCCTCGTGGAAGGCCCTGGGCGGCCTAGTCGGGCTCTCGTCGAAAGGCTCCAAACGTCCAACGGAAGCCTTCGCTCGCGGGCTGTCCCTCGCGTCCGAGTCGTCGAAATAATCCAACCGATTCCTCGACCTTCGTAACGGCTTCTTCGGGTCCTCGTCCAATTTTCGATGCTCCTTTCTCAAAGTACGCGAGGTCTCGTCGTATCGAGTCTCGCAACGGATCGAGTCTCGTGCTGTCGTGTCGGAGTCGTAACGGCTGGAGTTGTAACCGCCTCGATCGGTGCGTATCCTTGGCGGAGAACTGTCGTAATCGTCGTGTACCGGGTGTTTGCTGCTGGTGTATCGCTGAGTGGTGCGCGTCTCTTTGTAGTACTTTTTCGATTCGAGCTGACTACTGGTCAGCTGGGAGATGTCCGTGTCGTAGTCATCGTTGGGCCCCTCCCGGAGGCTGTCCAGGTGACGTTTGGTAAACGGCGACCTCTCCTTCCTACCGTTCATCGTGGGACTGTTCATCAGAGGTCGACGCATGTCCCTGGCGTTTACGTAATCCGCGTGGCTGGTGAGATTCTCGTGGGATCTGGTCGTGTACTCGCTCCTCAGCGCCCTCACTCTCGCGTTCTCGCCTATCTCATCCAAACGCTGCGTGGACTTGCTCATGCCGCGTATGGACTCAAAGTTCTTCTTCTTCTGGGACGGATAGGCTTCCCTGGGTCTAGCGTCGCGATCTAGAAAATCGTCGCTTTTAGAAAACTTCCTCTCGGTGGACGTGAACTTCTTAGCAATGATAGGCGACGAGAGAACGTTAACATTCTCCTTACTCTCGCGATAGTGATGAGGAGTCTCCACGGGATGAAAATTGGGCACCTTGTAGGGACTGCTAGTATTCCTCACAGGCTGGAATCTTTCTTCAGGGCTGGTCCTGCTCTTGTCGCTGAGAAAAGGCTTAAAATCGTCCGCGTACCCTTTATGCGTTCTCGTTTCCACTATGTACTTATCCCCGTATTTATCCGTCCTGGTCTCAACCTTGTACCCGTCCCGCGGTTTCGTGTCTATGTACCCGTCCGTCGGTATTTTATTCGTGATCTTCTTCTCGTAGCCGTACACCTTGCCGTTATCCTCGTGTATCTCCTTCTCGAATATGTACTTCTCGCCGTTGCTGTTCGTGCGTGTTTCCGTTATGTAGGTATCCATGTAACGTTTCGGCGAGGCGACGCGATTCGGCGTAACCGGGGACGGCACGATCGGCTTATCGATGATCTCGTGTTCCGACTTCTTAATCGGAACGTTAGCGGTGTTCTTCGCGGCGAACATCTCGTCCGCCAGGAGCCGCGACTTGATCCTGGACTCTAGCAGATCGCGTCTGGCGCTCAACTCGGACGTCTTGTTCGATATTCCTTGCGTCTGCCTGGCTTGGTACTCGTTCACCCTTTGCCTCGCGTCCGTTCCGTCGGCTCTGCCTCGTCCCGAGGTGTCGACGAACACCGTCGACGTGTACTTGTCCGGTTTGTCGTAGAGGCGTCGATCGATCTCGTCGAATTCGTGGCGCCGTTTCGCGTCGGTGCTTCTGGTAGCGTAGTCTTGCGTGCCGGCGTAATGACCAGGGAAGTGAGCGGTGCTGGTTTTTCGATCTTCCTCGTATCTCGACTTGAACGCGTTGATCTCATTGTTGCGCCTCAGGTCGCTGCTGTACGAGTAATCCGTCCTGCGGTACTCCTTCTCCGCGGGACTGTTTTCTCTCGAGGAGTCCTTCCTCTCGAGACCTAGGCCCTCGTCGCTGTCCGAGTGACTCCTCTGCGCCTTCTTCTTATCGGTCTGCACCTGAGCGTAAATCACGTTTGTCTGCGGGGGCGGCGGGCTGCACGACTCGTTTGGTCTGGTATAAGAGAACGGCCGGTTGTTGTTGTGACCGAATCCAGGCCCAGGCGAGACCATCGTTCGCGTCAGCTGGGGCGGTGGCGACCGATCGGTGGACAATCGGTGAATCATCTTGTGTATCGTTGACTCTTCGTCGCGTTGCTGAAGATCGTATCGACTGCTGTGCAGCATGCTACTCGCGCCGACCTTGTCTACTTCGTCGAGCCCGGTGTCCTTTGCCGGTGAAGGGGTCCTGGTTACCTTCTCCCTCCTCCCTTCTCCTTCCTCGTTGATCTTGTTATCGTCCTCTAGCTCGATAGGTATGCGTCGCACGGTCGCTTTGTTCTCCCTCGTAGGCGATATCGGCGGCTTCGATACAGTCACTTCCGTCTCTACGCGCTCCTCCCGCGTTACCGTTTCGGCATCGGTGTCCTCCTGCTTCGACTTCTTCGCCTCTGGTCGACTAGTGCCCTCGCCCGCGTCGATCCTACCGAAGTGGAACGGCTGCTGATCGACGTGCGGCGACGCCTCGATTATAGGGGACAGTTGTTTCTTGGCGCGGACGCTGCTCAGGTGGGATCCCTCGCTCTCACTGCCGCTTCTCTTGCGGTGCGATCGCGTCGATGTGCCGGCGTCGCTCGCGCTACGCCCCACTGGTTTCCTCTTTCGTTCCAACTTCGGCGAGAAGAACTTGGCTAGGGTGCCCCTCAGCTTCTTCGCGCTGGCATCGCTCCCGCTCCTCTCCAGTGCTTTCTTCTTCGGTCTCGGTGTACCGACGAGGTCCGCGCTGGTCGTTGCGCCGATTTCCTCGCTTCTGCGTCTCACATCGAGCGGCAGCTCCGGCCTCTTCTTGTTACGACGCGCCGGGAGTGTGCTGAACCGACCGGGCAATCGTCTATTGTCGTGGGCGACGCACTGAAGGCTGCCCGCTTGCTGAAGCACCAGCGCCGCCTCCTGAGCTAGGTCCTCTTTGCTTCTCGACGCTATGCTCTCTTTGTGGACGGGGGTGGCGATCAACCTGCCTTCGCCATCTCCTGCGAGTGCCGCGGTCACGCGGGGTGCTCCACGTCCTGCAACATCACCACCCATCGTCTCGATTAAATTCTACTCGGGACAGTACCTTGGTAGATTGGTAAGTACAATCAGTCCAATAAATATTTCTTTAAAGCGCAGAGATTTAAAGCAGCACCCATTTTTTAAACAATTATTTTGATTGTATGAGATTGGTACTTGGGACACGAGTACATTATTGAGCGAAGAATTAATTATTTAGATAGTGCAGATAAATTTGTTAGAAAGAATCTCACCACTTGCATTATATTAGTACAACTTAAGATCGTATCTTTCACAACGATCGTATGGATAATAAAACTGGTACGAGAGAATAAATCTCAGGATCCATTTTAAGTTCAAAACGAAAACGCTTGCGTGTTTTTTCTTATTTTTCTCTGTTCATTCTCCCTCGTATCCTCGATAAATCATCTATAGTATTACTGTTAGTTGTCTCTGTTACAGCGAGGCCTTGCTCGGCTCCTAATTGCTAAATAATCACAGCAGGAGATGGAACGAAGCAATTATTGTCCGTTCCACTCAACTCTGTCGATCCAACGTCGCTCGAATTTCGATCTGGCTTATTCAGGAGATCGTTATTCGAAATTAACTGGAGCGCCGAGCGCTCCCGTTCCTCAAGAAGCGGCCAAAAAAACGCGAGAGTTTAATCTCGCTCGGGAAGCTAATTAAGAACAACGAAACAAAAAAAAAATCCGCCCAGAAGTCATTTTAATCGCAAAGTCGGAACAACCATCCGACGACGATCCCTTTTTTTCCACCGTCGCGACAAAAACCGCGACAAACACGGAACATGCCTCGACTCTGCGTCATCGCTGTCTAACGAAGGAATCGAAAATCACGGGATTTTAATTGGAACGGAGATCGTCTGGAAACGATCATTAGGATACGAAAGAGATGACGTACAAATTAGAGTGGTGTGGAATATATCCTGGTCTTTTATTTTAAGTGAAAGTATACACGATGACGTCTACCATATAATGATATTAAAATCGTATCTGTATCACTGATAATGTATTACCAATACGCATAAAATGCTCGATTTAGATTAAGGGCGAGGATTCGCAACGTTAACGAGATTATTATACGGTACATTTATGAAATAGAGGACCACCCCATCCAAACAAACGTGATTTTTCTCGTGGTATCGCATTAATGTGGCCACGACTGTGATTCCATCGCAGATAATGGATCCAGGCGATGAGGCGCATTATTGGATTTGTAAATTAGCGATTTATGTTAAGCAGAGCCGGCCTGGTCGTTACCGGTTAATCACCATGTTTAATCAGATGCTAGTAGCTACTAGACCTCGGACACGAGGGTCCAATCATCTTTATAATTCACCAGCAACAAGAAACCGCTCCTCCTCTCTCGGGCCAATTGATCGTTAAACCGAAACAAATATCATCTCGTCCGCATTGTTTAATTACTGTCCAATATAATCAACCGTAATCGTTGCTATCATAGATATAAATCCCACCAAACGACTTTTTTTTGTTGATGAGATCGAACGATCCTTTCCCACAGAAAGTGAAACTATTACTTCTCTGCAGCGAGTCATCGTGGTAATGTTTTTAATCTTGAACGTAATCATTCGAGTGTAAGCATGCGAACAGATTTGATCCTTTTTTATCTTTTATATTTTCTCAATGAATGATTCCACATACAATTCTATAATAAGCCAATTTCTATTTATAATTTAATCAATTTATACAGAAAAAGATGTTTATCAAACCAGAACCACGATCAAAGAAGTTACCAGATGATCTCATCTGAACTGCGTCATACACATCCAAAGTAACTCCATCTGATAACCAGATCTACAAAAAAAGTCTCCTAAATGTAAGCTTCTACGACTAACACGTCCTCCCATTAGAAATCGAAAGTAGAATTTCCCCTTCGATACAATTCAGAACAGCCATTAAACGTCCAGTCCAATATGGGTTACGACTCCTCGCCTGTTATTTTCTTTGGGACGGATAATGGAAATCGTGGTTCAATTTAAAATTCAACTCGTATGCTCGTGCACCGACGTAATACGCAATTTGACCTTTTCGACGCGCGCACGCCTCGCAAACTCGGTTCGAGCGAGCGCGAATCGTTGCCGAACACAGGAAATCGGTCCTAAACCGCGGTTCTAAGTTCAACGGGTGTGTGTACACGATGAAACGTGTGCCACGTTAAGGCCTCTTTGATTCACCCGTGGATCGTATTTCTGCGGTACAATCATCGTACCATTTCCAGCCGCGATTTCCTTCGACCGACGTACGACTCGTTAGATAATTAATGACATGTTCCGTTGCGAAACCTTTTACAGAGGACGAAGTCGTATCGTAATTACGCTGCTCGTTGTATCGGCTCGCTTCTTGTAATTGCTATTCTAAATTTGTCCAGCGGTTGAATCGGTCCACGTCGAATGAGTTTGGGAGACTCGTAAAATCCGTAGTGAAAGGGAGAATATAAATTGAAAGGAACGTAACAATGGAAACTTTTCCCAATGCTTTCGTTGGTACGCCAAGAGTTCGTAAGCTTCGTACGTGCTGTCGTAATTTTTCCTGTGCTGATATATACTGTGGGAAAGAAAAGTTGTCTCCGCGTTAGATTCTACCGAGTCCTTTCGAATTTTCCGCTGGGATAATTAAACAGAGGAAAGACCGTGTTTGATTTAATCTCCGCTTCATATTACGTCTTCGCTTCCAGAGTGAACGCTGGTAATCACTCGATGCTCTCAACAAATATCATGTACCAGTGACCTTTCCATAACCGTGTACCTTCCACAACCACAGCCCCGGCGTGCACGTTTCTCGGCAGAAATTAATTGACGTGCCAACGACGGGAACCATTTTTACCAGATCCGTTCTGCACGTCGGGTAATTGAAGCCATGCGTTCGAGCGGGGCTCGTGTTTCGGCGAGCAATTTTCGGTGAGCGGTTAACCCTTTCGTGCGGGGTCAGGGCGAATTCACGATACCTCTCCTACCGTTGCTTTCGCGGCAAACAAAATATAAGAAAAGTTAGTGGAAATTGAATTTAGAGTTCTTTTTGTCATATGCAAATATTAGGTACAGTTGATAGTAAAGGAGATGATAACGATGTAATTCTTTTAGCATTCAACACACGAGCTACGAAAAGGATTCCGTCTAAATCTAGATTATTATCGATAACTCTTTAGGCTTTGCTTTCACAGGAAATGTGTATATAACAAAAGTTAGTGGAAATTAAATTTCTGATCCTTTTTGTTCCACGCAAATTTTCGATAAAGTCAATAACAGCTGAGATATCCTTAACGTAACAAAATAACAGCCTAGAAGTTATCCCCTGCTCTGAATTAATAAACCGATATCGACGCGTACTGTAACATACGAGCACGCACTCAATCGGAGCAATTATGCGCATGCAAATTCACCGTAATTAGGAGAACGTTCGCGTCCTCCATGACCAAAGTTGAACGAGCTAATGATCCCTCCTGCGAGACCGTTGACGGATTTACAGCGTCATTGTCGCGGTTCCACGAGCCTGGAGCACCTACGAGCGACCTCATCGGCGAACATCTTGTCGAGGTCATCGACGAGGACCCCGGGAACGAGGTCGCAGTCGGGATTAGCGTTTCTGTTCGCCTACTAAACCGCCGTACCACTTATAGTACCTATAATGCCGTGCACCATTTCCACCGGGCTCGTCTCTCGTGGGAAATCGTTGTTAAATGGAGACTGAATCCACTCCGCGGTCGTTCTTTGCCAACTTTTATGAGCTTCTGTTTACGCTAACAACCTCCATTCGCTCGTTCTTCCTCGCATTCAGCGACTAATAGCCGCGCATTTAGAACGCGTTGCCGAAGAAACGACCGCCCCTGCCATTTTCTATATTTACTTCTCTTTTTTTTCTTCTTTCCATCGCTCATCCATGGAAAGGAGATAATTTAGAGGCTTGGAAAGTGGCGGAAGTTGCAGTAAGCCATCGGTACCGATGCTGGAACGTCTTTTAATTGGTCTAGGGTTCCAAGAAGTTACGCAGAAGTGAGCAAATATTGATGATTACACTTGGAAGATCAAAAATGAAGTGCTTCGATAGTATCTCTTGTACTCTTTATGTGGATGATGAATTTAATTGGGGTTATGTTTTCAAAGGGTTCCAGCAGAAGTGAGCTAATGGACATACTTAGAAAGGACTACACTTGGAAAATTCGAAACGAATTACTTAATCGGTATTTCTTGTAAGGCCTGTATAATTACTGTCTTGCTATAGAAGAAACACACGCAAGATCGTAGAAAGCAAATCTATCAGAGGATGACCTGGAATGGAAGGAAGATCGACGATGTAATCGTGTCAGAACCAGGGAATATTCTCTAAATACAATCATATGTTTACGTGGAAAAAGATTCTTAAAGAAATCGTTTGTGGGAAGCGTGATAAGTGTATCATGCTTGCAACATGGGAAGAATCATGAGACTACAATGGGTGCTAATGTTCTAATCTTCGTGCTAGGGCTATGAGACCGGTACTGAATGCTAAACAAGTTACGCGTGTGATATACTTCCAATTTCCAACGACTTACGTATCTTATCAGAAACGTGCTTTCTTTTTTTATTACTGGCTACCAAGCACTCGAAAATTTTACAAATTAAATAGGAACAGATTTTATTGCGTACTGATAAAACTACTGGAAACGATAAGGTGCCTATAACAAAAAATCATACATAAATACATAAATGTACATTAAATTCGTACATTTATACTGGAGTGAGTTATGAATTGTGCAAACATGCAACAAACACTGCGATCAGGGACCTAGTTAGCAGCAACGCGTAGCCTGCCAAGGGGAATTACGGAAACCGAGGTAAAAAAGATGAACGATCGTAATTGATTCCAATTAGTCGGGATTATTCGCACTTTACGCAGCTATCTAGAATAGTTCCGATCGGCCAGTACGTCGACGGCTACGTAATGGCGCGTTTCATGGAAGCGTCGCGTCGCGTGTAAATACCGCGAATCATGTTGTTTCG